ACACTGGGATTTGCAGCCAAACATGGGGCAGAGCTGCACTATTATTGTGGAAGTTTTGAGGGAAAGTAAGAAAGACCTGAAGGGGACAGGAACACCAAGAGTAGAACAGCAAAGACAACTAACCCAGACCCACTAGATCCTACAGATACTGACACATCAACTAAGGAGCATGCATGGTCTGAACCTAGGCCCCCTGCACATATGTGGCTGATGGTATGCTTGCTCTTTATGTGGGTTACCTGGCAAGTGGCAAGGGGGGCTTTTTCCAACATGGATATTGCCTGCTTTTGGATCACTTTCCACTGGCAGGGCTGTCTTGCTTGGCCATAGTGGAAGAGGATATGCTCAGCCCTGATATGACTTGATGGGTTAGAGAAACATGATATGGGAGGAAGGGGCTTCCATTTTCTGGGTTCAAAGAGAGAGAAGAGTGAAGGACGGAGAAGGGGAACAGTGAGAAGAGAAGGGTGGGAGAACCCTTGGGATGTAATATAAATAAACTTATATAAAAAATAAGCAATAAAAAATAAACCAAACTGGCCTTGAATCCACAGTGATCCACTAATATTCACGGAGTGCATCATCACATGTGGCACTAACTTCTACTGCACATTATGACATCATGTCTTTCCTTTTACTACAGCTTCATTAGATTGCCATAATTCTTTACTATTGCCATAATTATTATAGAATTATTGTCATAATTCTATGCTATGAACTATGAAATAGGAAAACAATAGGATATGAAAGGAAGTAATTAAGTTGATCTGGAGGAAGAGCAAAGAGAAGGCTGGAGTATATTGGTACACAAAGTTCTTTGCAGGACTGTTACATATCAGAGGAATGGTCCCTGAACATTTAATCCTAATCAGCATTCAAGGACAATGAAAAAGTAACAGCCTCTTCCAAGTACTCTGTTACTTTGGAGCCACTCACAAATAACTCATAATTGCTTTGGGTAATGAGCAGCTGGAGAAAATATCAGAATTATTTGATCCCAAGCCCAGCACTGTCATGGCCACTCCAGGTGAAATGAAGATTGTAGTTCTGAAGGGAAATGAGATCACAGAGACTCAGACCTTTATCTCAGCATTGAGATGCTTTTGACTCCAACAGTGCTGGCTCTCAGGATGTTAAGAGCTACATTCTGAACCTAAGGTTCCTGGTAGAGCAGGAGTTAAGCAAGCCTGGAGAACAGTTCCAACAAGGGAGATTTGGCAAGTGCTCAAATCTACAAAATGGATTCTGAGGTACAAACAGATCTAGAGCAAATTCTTTCAATGTAGAGAAAGAACAACTGAAAAAAAAGCAGTTTAATTGATCTTGTACTAAACCCTCACGCAGGTAACATTATATACTGAAATCTTTGAGTACATAATATTATGTACTAATGTAGAAGGTTACAAATCACATTGATATGTGATTTCAAATGTGATTAAGAATTATGATTGCCCCATTAATATTTTCCTCTAAACATATTTTATGTAAATATGATTATTTATTTAAACGTTGATAACTTTTGTATACTTACCATAGCAGGTAGAAAAATGGTTTCATGTTTATAATAAAGATTATAATAGAACTATAAGAATCATCTAACCCTGGAGTGAAGCATAATATGATAAGTATAATATGGTTTCTAGAGTAAAGAACATTATGATTTACCACTACATTCATGACTTAACCATGTCTGTCCTCAAAGTCAGATTGGATGACTGCTGAGTCTTCTTTCCCTCTTGAATTTGAGAACACAGTGTTGAAGGAAAGTTGACTCTCATTGTGAATCTTGCATAACACTCTTTTGGAACAAATTTGTTCTGTCGTTTGTTTTAATTTGGTGTCATGAATGTTACCCTCATCATTGAGATATTTTTTCCAGTTTTCATTACTTGTGTGGAAACTGAAAACTTTGTGACAGACAGGCAAGGAAACAATCAACAGCCTAAATTTATGGACCATATTCACCTTCTGTTTTATAAAGCATAGTATTCTATATTATACTGATTATCTTTGGATTCTCTTTATTGTTGCTTATAGCTTTTATTTGGCATTCATAGTCTGATCAAGCCTAGCCACTAGTACATATAAGTCTCAACCTAAAATTAGTGATTCTTCACTTTGTGTGTGTGTGATGTGATGTTTGTATGTCTGCATTCATGAGCCTGCCTAAATTGGCAATATCTGTGTGTGGTCATGGCACAATGTCTGTTGTTCCACACACCATTTTTAACCATTTTTAAAAAAAATAGTGAAAGATTCTTTTCCTGGCATGGAGCTTTCTTTGTAGTCTCCGTGGCTAGTGAGTGATCCCCAGATTTGGAATCTTCTGGTCCATGTCTCCCCAGTGCTTGAGTACAAGTGTGCACCAACACAACCAGATATTTAATGCAAACTCTAGAGATTGAACTCACATTCAGATGCTCAGAATGCAATCGGTTTACTGATTGGACTATCTCCCTGTCCCAGTAATAACTTAATTTATATGGCTAATATTTTATCACATATTAGTTTTTATGTTTTAAGGGTATTGGTATAATGTTCTTTTGAAATGTATACACCTTAACATATACACCTTGTTCATTCAAATGCTGATTTCTCCCCTCACACACACTCTCTGGTTTCAATCCAGATATTGCATTGTGATACTTATTCTAAGGATCCTGTCACAACTTGGTGTAAACAGGCCAAAATAAAGCAACTATCCACAATTTTGAGCAAGGGGAGGAGCCAGAGGGCAGGAGATGAGTAGGAGGAAAAAGGGCCAGGCAGAGCTGGGAGAGAAGAGCTGGGAGAAAGATCTTGGAACCACATGGAGAAATGGACTGGAGATAACATATCAATAAAAGCAAGTGTAATGTGGGAAATCTAAATGTAGGGAAACAATGAGGGCTTGGAGTAAATATTATGCAGTACTGTGTTCTAGGTTACTTAAATAAATCCCATTTTCTGTACGGTGATTCGGGTATACAGCTGTTTAGGATTAACAGCAGCTTTACCAGAATATATATCAATCGTAAACATTAATCATCATTGTTAAATAGTTCATTCAATTGAAACCTCGGTTGTGCCATGGAATGCAAAAAGTACATCTGGTAAATAATGAAAACTGGGTCTATGTTACACTCATAAAATCTAATTCTCACAAAAAGAGTTTTTATAGCATTTAATTAAAATTTTAGTATTGCATTTTATATACTGACAGAAAGTTAAGATACAGTAGTAAATTCTGGATCAATTTATGCACAGACTGGGACTTTGAAAATGTTTCTTAGCATTGTTGAGCACAGATTTTTGACTTGTTATATGAAGCCCATAGCTGTTCACATTTCTCAAGTCTCCCTAAGACTCATAACTGTTATAAATTTTGACAATCATTTACCAAACATCTTAGAAGACTTTTCTTGGCAAAAAGAATGAAATGCTCTCTCTGAAACCAAATATTTATGAAAATGCATAGAAGGCACTAATAAAACCAAGATTACAAGCTCTGTTAACAGTTTTTAAATTTAACTGCAGAAAGCATCTTTCCATAGGAAAGCTTTAGGTTAGCCCTTGTCAGTGGGAACATGTGATTTTAGTTGATGTGATAAATGTTATCACACTGAGTGCTCCTCTACAGAATTTTACATTCTCTGCAGACCCTAAAGACAAATTTCAGTCAATGGATCCTGTCAAAAATACTCTAGTATTGGGAAAGAGAAATGGTCCAGGAATCTCAGGATAAAGAAGGAATGCTGGATGATTTCATTCTTCTGAATATCAGCTCTTCCTTTTCTACCATAAATATGTTGGGGCAATTACATTTAGATTTCAAACACAAGGTACATTTCACTTCCAAATTACTACCTTTCCAGATGTATCCAGTTCCATGGACGTCTTAGATGATACTTTTTCCATTGTTTGAGGATTATTTATTGTTCTGCAAGGTCAGGCATGATAGCACAATTACTTTGTGTGTGTTCAGCAATGGCAGAAAACCAGAAACTCCAAGATGGTGAGTTACAATGCTCCTGAGGATGGTGGGCTTCCAAGTGCACCCTACAAGATTGTATATTATGCTGCATGTCATTTCTTCTACCTGTTACTGTATCTAATGGAGCCTGAAAGAACATGAAGTAAAAAATTCACAAGCAAAAATACAATAAATTTATTAAATACACAAATACAAAAGATTTAGTAAATACTAAATACTAAAATAGTAAATACTAAATACAAAATATTTAGTAAATACTAAAATACAAAATATTTAGTAAGTACCATGTCACTTTATTTATAAAATCAGCATTAATATTCATGGGTGTTTCATGTTTGGCCTCCTGCTGTGGGTCTGTGGTTCCATGACAGCTACCTTAAAAAAATACCAGTAGGCCTCATACACATTCAAGATATCTTTCTCCAAAGTCAATTTTTTCAGTGATAATTTTTAACTATTTATTTGTAGATATTGTTTTCATGTGAGTATCTGAAGAAAAAATGAATTATCACTAACATTCACCATAACATCTAATTTAATGTTTGATCCTTAGTGTCAGCGGATTTTATGCTAGGTAATGAATATGTTATTGTTTACACATAGAGAAATATATGTAAATTGCTATAACATTTTCAATATTATGTTTAAACTTTAGATAAGAAATTTATTGAGAATGGATTTATTTTCTGGTGCAGATGTTACAGAAGTCTCTCCTTTTCTGATATGAGTAGTTATCAAAGTTTTTCCTAGAAATGTACAACTTAATGGTCTTTCCATTTGTAGTGAATAGCCATTGATTTACACAAGGTAACAATGTTGATTCTAATGATGAATATTATAAAAAAGATATTACTGTTGTCAAAATATATTATTTGAGGCAGGATCTGGCTATGGTGTGAACATTGCCTATTTTTTACCCTTCTTTCCCTTCTTTTTAATCAAGTGATTCTACCATAATGATATTCCAGGCAACAAAATGGTGAATTCATCATTTTTCTCAGAGAATTAATTGCTGGTGTATTTAAAGAATCGGGTGCTAAATGACAAAATGCTCTCAAGAACTTTGGCAATAGGAATAATGTTATCACAAAGTATAATTGGTATTCTGGGAAATATCTCTCTTCTTTCCCACTACCTATTTATTCACTATAAGGAACATACATTGAAACCTACAGATTTAATCCTCACACATCTGATCACAGCCAACTCCTTGATAATGGTCTCTAAAGGTGTGCCCCTCACAATGGCAGCTTTTGGGATAAAACAGTTCTTCAATGATTTTATATGCAAACTTCTTTTGTATATCCAAAGACTTGGCAGAAGCATGTCAATGGGCTCTATCTGCATCTTGAGTGTCTACCAAGCCATCAGCATCAGCCCAATAAATTCCTGCTGGAAGAAACTTAAAGTCAAATCTTCAAACAACATTGGCCTGTTTATTTCCCTCTGCTGGGTCCTGTATATTACCTTAAATCTTATTTTCCCTGTGCTTGTGCATATCACAAGGATTCACAAAAATACAACAGAAAGAAGACATGTTATATATTGCTCCTCTTGGGGTGGTGAAAAATTTGTAGGATCACTGTACACAGCATTATTGGTATGTCCTGAAGTCTTGATTTCTGTGCTCATCATCTGGTCCAGTGGCTCCATGATTGCCTTTCTATACAGACACAAGCAGCACATTCAACACATCCGGAGCACCCATGTTTACCTCAGAACATCCCCTGAGTCTAGAGCCACCCAGAACATCCTGGTTCTCGTGTCTACTTTTGTAGCATTTTATTCCCTATCCTCCATATTACAAGGTTTTGTTGCTGTTTTATTTGAGCCCAGTTGGTGGTTGGTAAATATCACAGCTATCATTTCTATGTGTTTTCCCACTTTGGGTCCTTTTCTTGTGAGTCGTGACTTCCTTGTATTTAGATTCTGTGTATTTTGGATAAGTAATGTCAAAATCCAATAGCTGCTTCAAAGGTGTGTGGACTATGTAATTTTTGTGCCTTATTTATGTGTTTAGTTACTTTGGTCCTTCCAAAAGTCAACATGAAAATGATAAGGGAAGTCCCTTATCTAAGTTAAGGTATTTGAATTATCTTTTTTAATTAATTAATTTATACATTCATTTTACATACCAATTGAAGCCACCTAAGGCCCTCTTCTCATTCCTACCCTCTGTTCCTCTCCCTGAGCCTCACCCACTCCCCTACTCCTAAGAAAAGGGGAACCTCCCCCTACCAAACTACACTAGGACATCAAGTCACATCAAGACTTCTTTCCTGTGTGTTGCAAAAATGATGTGTTGTGGTGAGAGCATAGTGATCAAAAAGCAAACAACAGAGTCCTTGTCAGAGATAGTCACCACTTCCTTTATTAGGAGACACACATGAAACCCTAGTTTCCCTTTGGTTAAATTTATGTAGGAGACTAGGTCCAGTCTATGCATGGTCCTTGGTTGCTGCTTCACTCTCAGCAAGACCCTGTGAGTCCTGGTTAGTTGGATTTGTTGGTCTTCTTGTCCCCTCCAGGTCTTTCTATCTTTAACCCCACTTTTCCACAAGACTCCCTAAACTTTCCCTAATGTTTGGCTGTGACCTCAGCATCTATTTTGATCTTCTGCTTGGTGAAGACTCTCAGAGGACAGCTATACGAGGCTCACATCTACAAGCTTATCAGAATATTGTTAATAGTTTCAGTAGTTGACTCTCTCCCATGGGCTGCTTCTCAGGTTGGACCAAGCATTGGCTGGACATTTACATCTTGTAGGCAGGATAAATTTTGGGTCAGAGATTTTGTGTGTGGGCTAGGATTCCCTCCCTCCACTAGGCATCCTGTCTAGTTAGAGGGTGTCCTCTTCAGTCTTCATGGCCCCTACTACTAGGAGTCTCAGCTGGTGTCACCCCCATGTCCTTCCAAAAATCTTCCATGTCATAAGTCTCCAGCTTTTCACAGAAATGCCCCCTCCCGCAGTTTCTTTTCTTTCTGTAGGTCCTCTGCTCTAGGATCAACTGTATTATCTTCTTGCTAAAGGTGCTCTTCGTAGGATCACAGCAGAGTACAATTTAAAAACTTGATGCTTGTATCTATACATGGTTCTTGGTTGGAGAAACAGTCTCATAGGAGGCCCCCGTGCCCTGATATATTTTGTCCTTGTGGAGTTCCTGTCCTCTCCCAGTCATATTAACTCCCCTTTTTATAATATGATTCCCTGCACTCTGCCAAAGTTTTGGACATGAGTCTCTGCATCTTCCCTCTGCGGTAGGCTCCTGTCCTGTTAATTGTTTTACCATGTATAGATATAAGCTAGAATCCCTGCTTGGATGTAGCCCATGGAAGCTCAGTAACCAAGTGGGTTTAACTAATAAGTGGAACAGGAACTATTTCTGACATGAACACAACGACTGGCTCCTTTACCTCTCCACCCCCTGAGGGAGGAACAGTCTTCCTAGGCTACAGAGGAGGACATTGCAGCTAGTCCTGAAGATCTCTGATAAGCTAGGGTCAGATGGAAGGGAGGAGGACCTCCCCTAGCTGTGCACTTAAATAGGGGCAAGAAGGAGATGAGGGAGGTAAGATGGGATTTGGAGGGTAGGAGGAAGGGGGATACAGCTGGGATACAAAGTAAATAACCTGTGATTAGTATAAAAAATAAAAGTTAATAATGAAAAATATTGATGTTGTATTCTAGATAAATGATATCCATATCCTCATAAAGTGTTTTGTGAGGAAAATTTTAAAAACAAAAATGTCAGTGTCCAAGCGTGCACATGCCTGCATGTGCGTAGAAGTGTGCCTTTAGGGTCAGGGTGCTAGAGACTGTAGAGGCCTTCAGGGTGAGGAGGAGAGCCTTACAGGCACCAAAGGGGTTGCAAGCACTTAAGGTGTCGCAGGGTCTGGTAATAATAATGGACACAAATTCCCTGAAAACCTCAGTGTCCTACAGGCTACTGGTATTCATATCTGACTGTGCTCCAGGAGTTATTTACCTAAATTCCCCTGGTAGAACCGCAGAGAAGGGGTATTAATGTCCCAAGAATCCCTCTATTTTCCACACTGGATGTGTGGGTGGGAGGGATCTGATGTTTATCTGCTAACTTAGAGGCACCCTGGATCTGGGGCTTTGTAGGCACTTGAGGGCACACTCTCTAGCAGGTCAAATAGTAAAGCACAGGGGTTCTCCTATTCTCTACTCACAGGTTTGGTCCTGCTGTGTCAAATGCAGGAGGATGAGATCCATCAGCTCAGTGGGGTTGCAGCCTCTGAACTAGGGAGTTCAACCATAGCTGCAGAATTGGGACACCAATCCAGGTGACTGCTAGGAAGTCCTGGGGAGCCACAACAGTGGTTCAAAGACCTAAATGGCCTGCCCCCTGGTGTACCTGGATGGGTTTGTGGGTCTGCATGAATTTGAGGGCTATACAACTGGCTGTGTGCCACTGAGGGATTGGGTGGCCCTTATAGTCATTGCCTGGAGGCTCTGCAGAGTTCATATGGCTGCTAGCAGACCCAGTACCTTGAAGGATGGAACTGCGGATCTGGGACCCAGGTGGCTGGTACAGCTGGCAGCTGCAACTGAGGAGCTAGGAGACCCGCTTCTGATGACTCAGGCCCCAGGCAGGGACTTCTGTGCCCAGAGCCTCTGGCACTGTGGGCCTGCTCCTCCAAGGAGTAGGGAGGCCTGAAAAAAAGAAGTGAAAAACATTTGAACTTTTTCCCCTCTCTGTCCCCAGAGAAGTGTGCAGAGTGATCTGAATCGAAAGGTTCTCAGCTCCTGTGATGTCCCCTCTCCGTCAGGAAGCCTCAATGTTGATTTTCTGGCTTCAGTTGTTCCTTTACTCACCAATTTCTCAGTGTCAGATCCTTTGCCTCTCAGATATTGTACACACTGGTCACTGCCATTTCTGATCTGACTGGGAGGCTTCAGCCAGCAGCAGATAGAGACTGATGTTGGGACTTGCTGCCAAGCATGGAGTAGAACTCTGGGAGTCTTGTATAAGTGTTGGGGGAAACATGCAAGGACCTGGAGAGGACAGAAACCCACAAGAAGACCAACAGAGACAACTAACCGAGTCTCATGTGGATTTTCAGAGAGTGATATAGCAACTACAGAGCATGCATGATTTTGACCTAGGCTCTCTACACATAGGCAGCTGATGGGAGCCTTGGTTTTCATATGAGACACCAGACAAGTGGAAAGTGGGGGGCTGTTTCCAACATGAACTCTATTGCCTGCCTTTAGATCACTTCACCCTGGTCAGGCTGCCTTGTATGGCCTCAAGTGATGAAATAAGTGTAGTCATGATGTGACTTTATGTGTTGGGAAAAGTTCAACTGGGCCTCCCTTTTTCTGGAAGAGGGGAAGGGAGAAAGAGAGAAAGTGTGGGAAACTGGGAGGAGGAGAGGGTACCCTCATGATGTAAAGTAAAGAAACTAATATAAAATTAAAAGAAGAAGAAAAAGAAGAATGAAAAAAAGGCAAAGGACACTGTCATTCAGACAAGTTGGCAGCCAACAAAATGGAACACATTTTTACCAACTCCATAAAAAGAAAGTCAGCAAACTCACTGTTTCAGTAAAATAGGATAAAGGTAGTGCAGTGGTAGGGAAATGCAAACTTGGATAGAGATACAAATAAACAAGAAAGTTCAAGCACTGCCAATGGGTGTTAACACTGATATGTATATTTTGAAAAACTGGCAGTTCCTCTTTATGTGGAACATAGACAAACCTGCATGACAATGATCTTATTTTTATTGTTTGAGAATTCTATATATTCATATTATGCATTTTCATTTAGCCAATCCCTTCCCATCCCAACAATTTATTATCCATGCTCCTTCTTTTCCTGTAGATTTAATGTGCTCTTTTTAAAAACCCATTGAGTGATGGGAGTACTAAACTATTTTCTGATTAGATTGAAATACTACTCAACAAGATAGAACTGGTAAAGAAGAAGATGAAGAAGAAGAAGAAGAAGAAGAAGAAGAAGAAGAAGAAGAAGAAGAAGAAGAAGAAGAAGAAGAAGAAGAAGAAGAAAAAGAAGAAGAAGGAGAAGAAGGAGAAAGAAGAAGAACTGGTGCTGCCTCTCTACAAAACTACAGAAAAAGTGGCTTCCAGGTCCCAGAAACAAGCTCATACTCTTATTCTACTAAATTCAGCCATTAATAAATTTATTCCTATTTTTTTAATTTGTCTTCATTGATGAGTGCTCCCTATGATTTTCCTTTCCAGAGAAGCCTCTTTATCATGGATGTTGATTAATAGGGAAGCTCATAACGGAAAATACATGTAGAAAATAACATCCCACTTTTATGTATATGTTTCAAAACAAATTTCTACTGTTATTATTAGGGACAAAACTCCAAAATTTATAAGTTTGTGTCTTAGTTAGTTAGGAATTTATTGCTGTGAAGTGTCACCATGACCATGAGAACTCTTTTAAGAAAACATTTACTTGGAATTGGAGTTTCAGAGTCTTACTTCATTATCATCTTGGCTAGTCCCACATGCATGACACAAGATATATATTACCATTCCAAAAGGGAACAAAGTGAGAAAATGCTGGAGCAATGAGAGACCAAAAATTAGCTGGGCTAACTCCACACTCTGTCTCTGTGTCTGATGTCAAAGCCATTTTCAGAACTTCAATGCCTTTCAGCTTTGTTGACTACAACAAACCTTCCTCTCTTGGGCTGGTTATGAAAGGATCAGACTAACTTTGTAACCTATATGTCTTCTAAAGCCTATAGTCTTAAGTTTTAGGTCCAGGTTAAGCTAAAGCCTCTTATTATCTTTCCAGAGAATAGAGGAATGTGATCCTATCTGTGAGGACAGATATAAAAAAAAGCAAGCAATGACCTTCACTCAGCAAAAAGAATGACCAGACCCTTGTCTTCTACGTAAGTGTTTCGTAGCAACCAACCCAGATGTCCACAATCCTTCTGAGTAGCTCCTGACCTCCAGCCA